GGTACAACACGCGAGGTAGAAAAACCTCGAGGAAAATAGAATTTTCAGCAAGGACCCGCTCGTTAAGCTGAGTTTATGGGAGCTTAGGGTGCTTAAGGTGCTGGTAGTGGTGTTCTCGCACACCATGAGAAATTGGAAGCCAACTTTAAGTCTCTGTGTGTATACGAATATATTAATGCGAATTTTGTCTGCGTATACGTATATCTATATATATATACACGCTCTCTAGTTTCGTGCGCTTCTTCAGCATGGTGCTCTTATCGGCTTTATATGTGTATATATACATATATATACGGACCTAATATATTCTTTTAATCAGTGCTCGATTCATGCTTCTTTATGCGGCCTTATATATTCCACGATGTAATATAAATTTGCGCGTCCTTGCGGCAAAGAGCTGCCGAGGGATGAGAGCGCAGGGTAAGGTTGGTCTGTCGTTGAAGGGCGCAAAGAAAGCAAAAGGGAAAAATGATTGGGCCGAAGAGTGAGACAGACGTAAGAGAACGAGAGAGATCAGGCGATACGGCTCCGGTAGATAGTAGGTACCTATATAGGGAAGAGGGTTGCCGGAAGTGGAGGCCAGGATAAAAAGGGCCAGGAAAGCGGAAGAAGGACGCTCTAAAATTCGATATTCTCAATTTCGTGATGGCTCAGCCCCATGCTGCGTTCCTAATGTCATGATTATGATAGGAAACGTTTTCAAGTCCCTCGCGAGCGGTTTGACGGGTATGCTGTATGCATTTTTATGTTCATTATATACATACATTATGTTCATATATACGTACACACATAGAAATACCTATGTGACGATTGGTCGGTCCGTAGCACTTGAAATCCAGCATCCCTTTACTTCATTATTCCTCTTTATTTTTCATCCTCCTCCCTAACCATAGACAATGGGCTTTGTCTCGTCGAAATAGCAGCATCCTGTCCAACTGGGACTATATCATGGCTGCTACGGCAGATAGCGCCACTGTTTTCTTTCACGCGAGCAATCGGGCATGTCTCGCTATCTACCCGACTGATAACAGATATCACCAGGGCACTTCCTCTGTCTGGGATCACTGAAACGTTTTCCGCCGTCTCTAACATCTAACCGTGAATGCTTTAGTCTTCCCCCGCAGGATTGGCACGACTAGGGTAGTTTTCCCTACCCTTAGGGTAGTTTTGCTATATCTGTGTTATTATAAATCTGCCCCGCAGCGCCTCCTACGGATACAACTGGAACTACTGATGGATGTATATAAGGAGGCGTCGCTCATTAAAATAACTGGATAGAAAAAAAAAAAGTGCTCGAGTCAGCACTGGCAAAACTTTGCCAGAGACTCGCCAGTAACGAATCGTTACGCTAATTAATTACTGCTTGCCGTTGCTTTGACGCCCCATCTCGGCTTCCCCCTATGCACGTACGTTTCCACGTATTTTCCATGTCGGAGCACAACACGACTTCACCATCGCATTCGTAACTTTTGCTCTGCTGACACGTGTTACTGCAACGTCGATTGTTCGCTGTTTCGTATCAACCGTAATTCGCCCTTTTTGGGTTATACACTTCTATACGTTAGGATGGCCACTAGGGGGAAAAAGAGAAAATTTACCGATCGCCGCACCCTACCACGTGGGTGGTAAACAATGTATTCAACCATAGCTGTATATAATGTACTACAGTATATATACCGCCTGTGCAATAGAACTCGGCGAGATCTCCATTCATCTGAAATTGCATACTGCTTCGAGTTAACTTCCCCTTTGGCTTCCCTTCGTCTCCCGATTCTGTGTCGGGTACGTCCACCAGCCCTCTTACAATTTTAGTAGTACAACCAACAACCCCCTTGAGTAAACACATGTGCGTGCCCATCGCCTCCTATTTCAGCTTCCTAGGGTTGGCAGCCCACATCCGTTCCCTTATTCTCTTGAACGTTATCTACTTGTTCTGGCTCTGCGCCTCCCCCCCCCCCCCCCCCCCCCC